ACCGGAGAGAGCCGAAGACACCGCGAGAAAGAGAGAATAATGCGTTAAAGCAGCAAGCAGCAACTACTCTAATTGGCCACTTTGTCCATTTATTCGATTTATTTAAATTATGGGACAATTGACAGTAGGCATTCTATTTTTTAAATCTCCCCGGCCAACCGGCTGATTGGGCGAGATTGGCGTGAGACACTGGCCCCACAGATTCCCCAGTTGTGGGCTTAATCAGCTTTGATTGCTGCCCTCTCTCTCTCTCTCTCTTCTCTTTCTCTCTTTCTCCTGCTGCCGTTCATCTCTCTTCCCTCGATAGGTTTCACCCTTTCCCTCTTTCTCGCTCGCGAACGCGTTGCTCACCCGGTTCGTCTCTTTCTTTTTTATTGTCGTGCTGCGAACGGACGAACGAACGAACGAACGAACGGTCGCCGCGCGCACACACGACCGCCGCCGTCGTCGGGCAACGCACAATTTTATTTTATTCCGTTTCAGCGCGGATCTCGCGACGAGCTTAATATCGTCCGGGAGTGCGAGACGTTGATTGGCCGATCCGAAATTGTGGGAATGTGTCTCTGGATAACAGAGACACCGAGAGAGGCCGCCCACTCTTGTCCCTCTCTCTCTTTCTCCAATCTCTGACGTTTCCTATCCCTCCCCCACCCTGCGCCGTCCTTTGTCAACCGATTACCGTAATTTCCGCTGTCACTGCTGATTCGTTTCTTCGTTTTCAACTGAAAATCCACCGGGCGAATCGCAGCCAGCCGCTGCTGTCTTCCGTCACTGCGCGATTAACGTGTGACTGGGAGCACCGTGTGTTTGGCTCTGCCAGAATCTGCCCTGGTTTTCGCTACCGTAGCTGTTGACCAGTCAAATTCCTTTATATCTGTTTTCTTATACTCCCAAGAGAGTATTTATTAACATTTCGATTGAATTCTGCAGTAAAATGCATAGTAAAATGTCGATTTTTCTTGAAGATCTTTTACAAAAGCAGCTGTGTCTCTTAAATCATTGCGAAGAAAGACGTTCGCTGGTCATTTCGAAACATTCTCTGTCCCAGATCAGTGATTTTATTAGATAGCAAACATTGCGTGCGACTTGGTTCATTGTCGTCAGCGTTACGATCGTAATAATTGTTAATAAATCGGTATTTTTAGTGGGCAAACATCGATCGAATAATAATCCTTCTAATAGAAACGGTCACGGTGAGGTGTGCATTCTATTAGTGTATTTGTTGATGATCATTAATGGCGTTACGTAACGGTACAGAGAGATTGTGTCTGTATGATGTCCCGTAATTAATGAAATTCCCATCGAGTCACTGACTTCGAACCGCGCTATCGTCCGACTGATCGATCGGCACCGAATGCCTTTTACGGCCGAATTCAAATCAACCGGAGTCGTTAGAATGCCTTCGACTACTTTCGTTCTACAAATTTTTTCCTCCATTTACCCGTGGCTCACTTGTGACACCTTAACTCAAATCGATTCAATAATTTCTCCAATGGCACAAAACGATTCTATTCCGCGAGCGTTTCGTTTCGTTCTTAAAACTTAATCAAGAACATTCAGCGTGCCTATTAAATTTCACAGATGAAACGACTACAGATTCAGAAATGTATAATCGTATAGCGATAATGATAGTTCCCTACACCCCCGTGCGAGCCGACAAAGTCCCCATCACGGCACAGAAGGCAACGAACTACCGAGTAAAAGTAAAAATAAATTTGATTGACAGTCCGAGAGAACCATACACAGCCGGCCGCAGCTAATATTGTTAACTATATTTGACAGTCTATAGAATGACGATTCCCGTCACGATAGAGCGGCGCAATTTCTCCATCAGTGGCGTAATATTTTTTGAATGGGACAGAGAGCCATGGGGCGGGTGGGTGTGTATGGGGGACCTGCATGAATCCGTCCGTTTCCACGCGGCCCGTTCTTCCTCTCTTTCCCGATCCGTCCGCGGCCCGGGCGAAACCCCCTTCAGCCCCCTCGTGGGACCCACTTGCGCTCATCCTATTTCCTTGATAATTCCCATAATGCTGTGGGCGGATATTCCAATAAAGGGGGAAGAGCCCCCGGCCACAAAACGCTGAAAGCATGGGACACGACTCTCGTTTCGTCAGGTTGCACGCGTTTCACCAGCCTGCACCGATTCAATCGAATAAATACAGAACACGAGGCTAGAGTGTGCAGCGCGAGAGACGGACGGAGAGGATCGGAGCGGGAGAGAAACAGTCCCGAACGAGATTTACAGATTCGCCGTCACGTGACCGTGGGAATTGATAATTGGGATGCGGGACCATTCTGGAGAGATTTAAATAATTTCGGAGGAGAGCGCGTCGCGTTGGGAATTTATTAACCCTTTGAACTCTGTACGCTCCAGTATTGCACCAGTTGTAATATTAAATATTTTAATGAATCTTAACACTAGGTTTCCGGAACGCGTCAATTTGACGCAGATTGAATTCTATAAACATTATTTGGTAAATGTTTTAATCGGCTTTCGTTGATCCAATTACACGAATATGAATCCTGACTGTCTATTTCTACATCTACAATTTCCAAAATCTAAATGAACGAATATCAACTTCCCCAGGAACAATAGAATAAACTGTACAATAAATGCCCGTAAACATAGTGTTAAAGAAACCACCCTAAAGTCATTCGATTTTCACCAAATTTTGTACTAAGAAGGAAAATAAAAGACCGAAGAAATGTTATATTCGTAATTTTCGCTAGGAATTATAAAAATTCGTTGCAGTTGCAGATTACAAAACAACCTGGAGTGCTAAGGGTTAATGATGACGGTTTTGAGATGCGTACTGTAATTGATTATCGTGGATTGTTTTATTGTTAGTGGTTATCGTTCTGGTACGTTGTATTTACTATTAGTTTTATATTTAACGAAGAATAAACGTTTCTGGATTATTGATACGGTAAGTTGAACGTTACTGAGATTAATCGAGTTTTCATACTGCACGTTCAACAGGAGCAGGTCGAGTTAATCTCGTGGATTAATGCTCCCGCGTCCGAGCAGGAAAGTTTGGAACCACCTGTTGAATGATCCACCCACAACTCGGCCAGACTAAACGTGGCATTTCCGTGCTCGCTTTAAAATCCATTCGCGGTATTCCTAAAGTTAAATGGAAAGATATTAAGTCTCTCTAAACTACATCAACCGTTCACACTGGCAGCCGTACTCCGGGAATTATACCGCGACAGTTTATGCGTTCCAACATCTACGATCTACTTACTGGCTCTCTCACCGTACCCCATTTATTCCAACACGAAAAGCAAGGTATCCACCACCAAAACTCGCCGACGTGACTAAAAGAGAAAAGAGGGGCCGCTCTGCCCGGGAATTAAATCATAAGAAGTTGAAAAGAAGCAACGGGCATCGGATCCGATCGAACCAGATCGCCGATCCGTTCGCTCGCTCGCGCGCGTCGCGGCCCACGCTGCGGCCAATTTTTTCCCTTTATCATTCTTTGTTTCACTTCGTCCCTCCCTTCCAGGGAGCGCGTCGCGACTGCTCAGGGTCGTCGAACGCCGGCGACTCGATTTGAATCTAATTACGATCCCGATAATTCCGTAAGGAGGAGGAAATAGTAACTCACCGGAAACCTTCGGGTCAGCTGCCTCCACCTTCATCGCCGCCAGGCTCGCTATTGTCGGCGGTACCTAAAAGAAAATACATTACGATGTACAATGCACCAGCATGCTCAGGGCCGTGCTCGCGACGGGGACGAAAAGGGGGGCCGACGCCCACGCGAGCCGTGGGGGACGGGCAACGGATTCTATGAGGTTCGCGACACGTGTCGTTGAAAAGGCTGAATGCCTCCAAATTATCCGGGTCCCGCGGCGACCTTTCGGGAAAACCGCCCCCTAGCCCTTCGGGGTTCAACTGGTTTTTTCGGAAATCTACGGAGAAACTGTTTCGAGCGAGATATTCCGTTGGTTATTGATTCGTGGATTGGACGATGGAAAGAAGTGATTTTTACACTAGAAGCAATTAATACAATTAATATGTAATCTCTATGAAAATTGTAACAATAGATTATTCTCAGTTTCTGCAGACATTTATTATAGTATTCAAGTGAAACTATTGTATATAATTAATATGTAATCCCTATAACAATTGTAACAATAGATTTTTTTCAGTTTCTGCAGACATTTATTATAGTATTCAAGTGAAATTTATTTCCTAGATCACTTCGAATATTCAATGATTTTAAGATGTCAATAATCGCGGAACGAACAAATTAAAACCAGTCGTTTTGACTGGTAGTTCTAGTGTTAATGATTGTAATTAGAATTCTTTGTTGTCTGAGGAATGATTTATATCTAATTTTGTATAAAATGAATGTATCTTTTATTGAGTTTAGTGGTTTGTAGTTTGTGGGTAGTGGTGTTGGAATGTGAAGTTGAGAATCGAAACGGTATGAATAAAGACGAGAAGGTTGAATGCATAGGTACGATCCTGCGAAGAATTCGTGGCATTAACCTTTACTCCCGCGTCGAATTTTCACGGCGACAGGAATCGCGTCTTTATCGTTACGACATCCTCCCGGGGACGTTAGGTGAAGCGGAAACGGCTTCCGGTTCCCCGAAAACGTCCTGGAATCGGAATATACCGACTCGATGCAGCGGGTCGACGACCTCGCCGATGCAAGCATGTTGCATCGACCCAATTCATGTAACCGAACACTTCGCAAACAACTCGGTGTTCCATTCTACGAAACGAAGCAACCGATTTTCGAGCTTAATCAAAACGACAATGCATTATTCACTTTGCATTCTTTAGTCTACTATCTTATAATTATCAGCTATAAACGCGAAGCTAACGCTTGAAACCTTACGACAAAGACAAATTCAATTACTTCGATTCGAAAACCTATATAAACATATCAGATTATCGTTCAATACAACTATCAAACAGAATGCTTATCGAAAGTTCGTCACGAAATATCGTTAGAAAGATGTTACAATTACTAATTCTCACAAGAAAGAATACTGAATGTATTCAACACTAAAACGTTAAATTGACTTCCCGAAAATACTATAGAAACTTCAAAAGTGCATCTATCGAGACTTTCATCAATTTATAATTCAGTTCGCGTATAGCTAAATCAATTTCCTTAATAATTTCTTAAAGAAACATTCCTTGTCTTTGTAATAACTGCGAAACAAAGAAATCAGGAATTTTGATCTGGCATATTTAGTGTTAACCCACTGCCATACAATGAGTGAGACTCGCGAAGAGTCTCTTCTACATTGATTGAACAAAAATTAATATATTCATTGCCCACTGATCAAAGAACTATTTTCCCATTATCAATGTATCATCTTCAAATGAAATTTCTGAATAAACTAGAAAACTTATCTGCTGTTCTTCCAAATTACCGACAGTACAATCTTACACCTAGCACAGAATCTAAATAACACGTCAGAGGTTAACACTAGTACCGGTCATTTAATACGACTGACATGTAATCCTCATGAAAATGGTAACAATAGATTTCTCTCGGTTTCTTCGGCTATTCATTACAGTATTCGAGTGAATTTATTTTCCTCATCACTTAGGACATTCAACATTCTCCAAGTACCAATAATTACGAAACAAGAAAACCGAAACCAGTCATTTCGACCGACACGGTAGTCCTAGTGTTAAAGACTAATCGAATCCTAATTGGCGCGTGCAAAGACAGTTCGCGGCGAGCGACAAG